TGCGGACGCGTCGTTACGAGCACTCTACCTTCACAAATTAGTGAGGCGAGGAGCTTCTTTATTGCGGCAGGCAGTCGACAGCACCATGACAAAATGGCGAATGTTCGATGTCGGTGCGCGTCACGATGAAGAAGCAGACACCAGAAACGCCACTTGGCGAATCGGGTGTCTAGGTTTTGTTACGTGCCCCAAGCAGCCAATAGAATCGCGCGGTGATGCTTCTCGATGACGCGTTTTTGCTGAAAAACCAGTGAGCAAGGAGAGCCACTGGTGGCGGGAAATTGAAGATGAACGACCCTTCCAAACAGGACCAAGATGACCAGGATAGCTTGTGTGTAACGGAAACGGTTCGGCGGGGAAAAAGTGCAACTTTAGCATCTATTTGTGCTCAGATTCATATCACGGGGTGTTATAAATTGATTTTGTGCCAGAAATAATGACATGAAAAGCTAGCAACTTCTCAGATAAGTGCAAAAATAGGTGCAGGTTCCGAAAATGTCAACTTCATAAAGTTTTTTTTTTTTTGCGATTTTCGGCCTTTTAAGACCCATGTACCCCCTTAAACTTGCTTATAACGAACCTCAACATAATGAATTCTTCTATATAACAAAGCTTTTTATTGCCTGCCGTTACTCTATAGAAGCACATGTATTTGCGACCTCTGTGTAACAAAGTAACACAGGGGGGCAAACTTGATATAACAAATTTTAGCCACGGACAATCTGGGAATTTCACCCCCGGATTTTGTCATTTTGGCCCTGCCGCAGATAAAGCGCGAAGCGATGGCGGCATTTTCGACCCTGTGCATGCATGCATGGTTTCGCTGCATGTGCGTGCTGTGGCCCTCGGCGACGTTCTGTTTTTGTATGTATTTAATACGGACAACGATGTCCCTACCGAGGGGATGTCAAACTAGGTGCTTAAGAAAACTCTCCAAGACCACAGTGACGACGGATTTTCGGAGGTCAATTCTTCATGCGTTTTTGATTGCACGGCATGCTCGAGGGATTGTAGCATTTGCGATTAGCCAATTAGCTCTAGCAACAACACGATAGCTCATTGAATGCAATGCAATGAATGTGAGAGCAAAAAATGGTAATGTTCTACAAAGTAAGGCTGGCAGCCAACTCTCTTGAATGCAATGTCGTGTAACTCCTGCGAAAACGCTGGTGAAAGAAAATACGGCTGCTACAGGAAGAAATGCTCTTTTCACACAGTTTCTTTGCATTGAAAGCGCATTGATGCTTGCTGAAGTAGCACGCGTGCCAGCTAGCGATCACCACCGCCCCCCTTAACTCTTTCGCTACCGCGGGAAAAGGGGCCGTTTTTACTAGGTGTGAAAAATAATTTTTTACGGCTAGATACTAATGCCTTATTTACATTGTTTGGTACCAAAATGTAGCTAAAAAAACGTTCTGGTCAATAACATAGTTGTTGTACATATATTTATTACACATAATAATGAAAAAAAAAATTATATAGAAAAGTTTATACAGTGTTTATACATTTAACACTTTAAAAAGGGGTATACCTTAAAAAATAATGAGGTTAAAAAAACTGAAGATATACAATTTGTAGCCTATTATGTTGAAAAAAGGTTGTTCAAGTTTCAAAAATAATTGCGAAAAACTGTTTTTCCCACAAAAAAGAAAGTTAGTGAGGGTGCGTCTCGTGCCATTCTCGAAAGCAGTCCCTCGTCGGGATGAAACAAAGATAGACCCCGCATGGCTGACACAAAACTGCTGTTTTCATCTGTGTCGTTCGTTTGTCGTAGCAGAGCTTGCAATTTCGGCGTTTTTCTTGCACCTGGGGCTTGTGTTCCGACTTTTTTGGAGGTGGAGGAGGGGGAGCATGTCTTTCGTCCGTGCCCAGAATCTGGTTGATCAGCTCAATTCTAAATGCGAGCTGGTCAAAGCCAGTTTTTCTTGACAGCTCATCTATTTCAGGGTGATCTCTCCGGTGTGCCTCAAAAAGAATAAAACTATTCACGATGGCAATGTCGATGGAGTGAAAGAACAGCGTCTTCCACCATCTCACGCATTTCATCAACACGTTGTAGGAAGCAATGAGTTGATCCTACTTGTCAACACCAAGCATGCCCTTGTTGTACTCTTCTATCAAGAGCGGCTTCCTAACGGGAATCTTGGTCCATCTGTCTGCCCTCTTCACTTTTCGCGTTGCTATGACGTGTTTGTTTGCTGTGTGTGCTGTGCTCATCAAGTTTACTACACGCTTGTCTTTCCACTGCAAGTACAGCACGTCACTGCATCGCATCCAGCGAACGTCTCCTCGAGCTGCTCTTTTCTCCCATGTGGTATCTTTCAGCTGGGAGGGGAATCCGCGGCAATCTTTGCGTGTTGTTCCGCAAGCCAGAGTTTTCCGCTCAAGTAGGTGTACAAACAGAGACGTGGATGTGTAAAAGTTCTCGAGGTAGATGATGTATCCTTGATCTAAGTAAGACTCGCAGAGGCTCGTTACAACGTCATATGCGAGTCCCTTTGAGCTGGGTGCCTCTCTCTTCCCGGTGTAAACACTGAATTGGACAGTGTAGTCTGTCCTTGAGTCTGCGAGGACCCAGAGTTTGTACCCCCATTTGACCCCCTTGTCCCGCATATACTGACGGATTCCCGATCTTCCTTTTGACTTTACCATTCTCTCGTCTACACACACGTTGCGGTACGGCTGAAAAAGCTGCGAAGAGACGTCATTGATGTGCTTCAGTAGGTTTGATATTCTGTGCAGCTTGCCATCGCGGACGGGGTCTGTCTGCTCCGGGTCCATGACACTGAAAAAGGCAAGGAACGCAAAGAAACGGCTCCTCGGCATGATCTTCGGAGGAATGAGACCAGAAAATAATTCGGAGGTGTTCCAATACAGATGAAGGCGAGGCAACTCAACAATTCCCATGTAAATGAGCATTGCAATGCACTTCATCACTTCATCGGGACTGAAGTTCTTCCACGAGCCGTCTCTTTCCGCGTACGTCTGCCTCTCTAAAATATGCATCCACGCATATTTGTTCGTGTAGTTGCAGATCATGCTTATCACCTGCGTGGTGAAAAACAACTGGAAAAAATCGACCGCCCGGACGAAGCGCCATGCATTACTCCGGAGCGCGCCGCCGACTTCGACCCCTGGGTTTCGTCTCGGCAGAAACTGTATGCGCTTGACAGATGCAGGCAAGGAATCATGTCCGTAGAGCGTTGAGACCCTGAAAATGAGTAAAATTGCTATGAGTACACGCTCCGCCACTTGTAACCACTGATTAGTCAACAAAGTGTGCGGCACGCATACAGCAAACACTCACCTGTCGGACGTTGCGGTTTGACTTGACGCATCCTCGTCATCGGTGCCAAAATCTGATGAGTCAACATCTTCTCCAGACTCACTGCTGCTGATTACATCCTCAAAATCGACTGTTGATGAGCTGGATTCGCGAGAAACGTGTCGTCTTTTGGGAGCGTCTATGCGTGATGACGACGCCATGATCGGTACGCGCACGCCGCAACCGGAAACTTATCGCCGCGAGAAAAAACTTCTCCGCAGCAAAAAACAAGCAAAACATTGCAGGTCCCTTCGTGTGTTTCTCACTTTCTAACCTAGATGGCGTTAGGTGCCCGTAAACTGCACAGCGGTGCGAGAATTCAAATTTGAAATGCATCGTTCAAATTCAACGATTTGAATAGGCGCGGTAGCGAAAGAGTTAAAATCAAAGTTCATCATTGCTACTTGAACGATTCCCGCCCCCCAGCATTTTTTATTTTTTCATGCTCATTCAACAGCAGTTCTAACATGCGGAGGGATGTTATTGTATTATCGACTTCCAGGCAAAAGAGCGGGTAAGTGTGACCGCTTGGCTTGGGCCTAATCGCCGCGTTAGGCGCCGCGTCGCGGAGCTGTTGACCGCCTGGCAGCCAACTTGCCGCTTCGGGCATCCCGGTATTCAGCTGTGGAGACCGCCTTTATTGCATCTGCTCTTCGAAACAAGTGCATCACTGATATTTTTGGGCAAAAAAAAAAAATTGTGTTTTCACTCGCAACTTTTTTAAAAGCTGTGTTTCACTTAGTACGAACTTCGGGGCACAGCTAACGGATGCCGCGTCAGGCTCAAGTTCGTTATAAACGGGCTTGACTTTAGCTTGTAGGTGTGATTTGAGGCAAGGCAGGATAAAGTACTTTTTTAAGCCAGCCTGAATGCAATGAATTTTACTTTTTTGTAAAAACAAATTTTCCGGACTGTTCAATTTTTAGGACTATTTTTCGGTCTCCTCCAGGTCCAAAAAAATCAGTCGGCGACTTTGTCATATTTGGCTTTGCTAGTTTGATCTCATTTCTGTCAACTTTAAATATATAGCTCATTTCACAGTGCAATTAATAGCCAACTATTGTTTGTTTCTTGATATTTTCATTGGTGATTATTATAAAACATTTTTTGCAATAAATAACATTTGAGACACTTCACCAGTCACTTCACTCCGAGACTTTTATGTCATATTTTACCATCTCGTTCTATAGTACCAATAGATCCTCCAAACTACCATTTTTTTCTTCCTAGAAATTCACTACAAAATGTAAAGTCATTTCTATCACTGTTTTCATCACCTTGAACTGGTATATAAACTAGGTAAGCCAACAGAGAATGAAGACGAGATAGGCACAGGGGACATATTTGTGGCTTTTAGCAGTAGTGCAGTAATTCTGACACAAATGGAAAGCAAATAAAGTTCAAGGAAGAATGGTACGGACCAGACCTACAATCTTCGTAGCACATCTGATGCTTGTTTGTTCTGTTTTTGTAATCCTTGGGCATGTTAGCCGGCATAGCTCGTAGCCATGCCAGCAAGTTTGGAACACTTTTCGCCAGCTGGCATCGTGTAAAACGCTAGCACAAAGTGTTTCCTGCTCTATGCCGTCTGAACGTTTTTTTATGCATGCTGTTTTAAGCATACAGTCTATTGCTGTTCTCGCCTCATCAGTGTGGCCTGCATTTGGTATTGCAGGGTTGGCAGTGATCATGGAAGTGCCAAAAGACCACGGCTGGATCCAACCAAGTTGGCGAACGGCAGTACTCCTCTGAGGTGAGTGTTGAGGTGATGCGGAGCTTCGCGCTGCGGTCGTCTTGAATCGGTCTACAGTGGTATTCAAAACAGAGAGTGTAATGAACTAATAATTTAGGTGGAGATTGTTATGTATGCATACCTGCCCACTCTTGAATTTTCGTAAAATGTATGAATTTCAATCTCTCTTACAAATGTGCAAACTTTATTTTAATATTTACAGAAAATATTTTATTTTCGATTAAATAAAGTTGAATATCTTTTAAGTCTCGGCCTTCGCGATAAGCTTAGGCAGGTTGCTGTAGCCGAGTCGCAGAGGCCACGGAAATGGCATTAGGTTACTCAGTCACACCTGCCTTGAAAATGCTTCGTTATATCCGAAAATTTGTTGAACCTGTATTCGTAACACTGTATCTATGACAAATCTATTGTTCCTTTTCTTTGTTGTAACAGATAATTCGTTATATCCATGTTCGTTATATCAAGGTTTGAGTACGAGAAGACAGTGTGTACTTTGTTATCAGCAGCAGCTTCATCGTTTAGCATATCGACTAGTTTAGGCAACTAAGGACTTCTTTCATCTTTTCTGGGGATGGCTATGAATATATACCATAGATAAATTTCCCTTTTTCTATGTCCATATCATCTCTGCGCATCTGCAGACATGCGGCAGTGGGCATTGAGCGCAGGCCGGACTTTTCGTCGGTTAGGACTTTTCGTCTCTTTCTGTATGACCGACTGCCGCGTCGGACTGCTCTTTTATACTCGACTGGTTGTTTTCGAGCGCTCCTGAGGCTTTAGACAATTTGTGTAAAATAGAAACAAAGCATCACTACTTGATAAGGAAGGAGGAAAATTACTTTCATATCTGGTTGTTCTTGTAGAGCATTAAAGCTGCCAAGTTCGCCACTTTTAGAAACAGTTTGAGCATTCATACTACTGCCCAACGTGCCATAAACTATAGCGGATCCGCAATGCAATGGCAGGCTCGAAGCCGCAACAGTACTACCAAGTGTTTCTGAAATGGCGCACGTACCTGTCAAGTCACCTAGACTTTCTAGAAGGCTCCAGGATTTCGACCGTTTCTTATGTTCGTGCGGTTGGCTAAAAAATCTCCTGGAAATCGAAGTTTTTGTGCGTGATCAGGTCGCTTCCAACTCGGTCTGATCCAGGCTTTTCGGGAAACCATCGCATTATGTTGACCAGTTTAGGAAGCGTTGATGTAAGCGTACAGTAGTCTCAGTGGTACGAAATTTACTGATATGAATTTGTGAAGCTCCCCAGCTGAATTCTACTGTCCAGTGGGACCAAAAATCGGAGGCTCTGAATACTTTTCCTTGTCGTGACAGATTATACAAATTTCTTACCAAGCCGTCAAGTGATGGCCGAGAGCAGTATGCTGGAAGCTTTGAAAGTATGCGCGCAGCTAGCTCACACACTGTCAAAACTGTGGCTATCGTTTGTCACTACAGCTGGTCGAAACCGCGGTCATTCTGGGCACAATCTTGTATGACGACGACGAAGATGGCAAAACTGTGCCTGCACATCTTACCCCATCAGTGACGCAGCTTTCCTCAAATGCTGTACACAAACACCGTGGTAGGTGTGATCATATATTGCAACTGTTGATATAGTTTTGAACGCACGTGTGTGACCAGCGCTGGCGGACTGAAAACAGAGCTACTAATTGGCGCGACCGCTGTGACATGATTGGCTACAAGCTCCAACGGTACGTGGCAACGCAGCTGTAGATGAAAGGCAATAAAGTTGTGAGAAAGCCACAAAGCATTTCAGTGTCCCTGTCAATCTTTACTTATGACTATGGTGGAGCAAACTTGCACACTTACAGTAAAAGCTGGTTAATTCGAACCGCAAGGGGAAGCCGCCTCAGTTTCGAATTAACGAAAGTTCGAACTAACGAAAGTGAAGAGCAACAATAGTACACTGCAAGTAGGGCATAACAATTTATTTTTTGAAACATTCTGTGATCGCAGTCTGCCTTCTTTCCTTGAAGGCGACAGCCAGCACTTTTTGCTCTAACGAGCAAATTTGGCGGAAGGCCTCTTCTCCGCCTTCTTCAAAACTTAAGTAAAGACGGGCGGCATTCAATGCGGCCATGACTTCCGTAGCAGAGGGCTTCGTCCTCCTCCCCATCATCGTCACTGGCAGCGACAGGTTCTGCACTCCTCACCTGACATAATATGTCGCCATCTGTGAGTGCACCACCACTGCACTTCAGTCCACATCGACATAGTTCGCAAAGCAGACGTCTATCAAAACGCCCGCCATGTGGGCAGTGACACCGTGTTCGAGCACTGGTGGCTCGTAAGCTTGCAGAGCTTGGGTGCTGAAGCCACAGTGGCGAAAGCAATTTGCTATCGTAAGCGCTGTCACTTGCTCCCAAGCACGCACAAGCATGTGTAGTGCACTTAGGAGCGTCACTTGGTAGTTATTGCTCAAAATAATTTGTTCCAACATATGACGCCGATAAAGATTTTAAATTTCTAATTACACCCTGGCCCATGGGCTGCAGTACCGCTGTCGTGTTTGCTGGAAGGAAGGCCAGCTCAATGGCCTTAGTCTCAACGTTGACTTTATGAGCCGAACAGTTGTCCACAAGAAGCAGTACTTTGCGGCCACAGCGTTCGAACTTCTTGTCAAGCTTCCCCAACCACTGCGCAAACAGTTCCCCCGTCATCCAGGCCTTTTTGTTGGCCGCGTAGTCTGTTCGGAGGGACCGGATGTTCTTGAAGCAACGAGGACTTCTTGATTTGCCTATCACAAACAGGGGCAACTTCTCGGTCCCAGTCATGTTCACAGCAACCATCACTGTGATTCATTTTTTAATTTTCTTCCCTCCCGTGCACTTGTCGCCTTTATACGTGATAGTTTTGGCGGGCAGCAATATGAAAAATAAGGCAGTTTCATCCGCATTAAATATGTCCTGCAGAGAATACTTCTCCATGTAGCCTTGAAGCACTTCGGAACACCAACCTTCACATGTTTCCATGTTGACGGCGTTCATTTCACCTGACACAGCACTGAAAACGAGGTCGTAGCGCTCACGAAAACGGTGCAACCAACCACCTGAAGCAGCGAAGTCGTCATAGTCTAGCTGCAGGGCGAAGTCCGCTGCCTTTCTGGGCCACTCGGTGGTATGTCCTGCGAACGCATTTCCTTTATCCAAATGAGAAGCGCTTTCTCGAGGTCAGGATACTTTGTGAACTTCTGCCTCCTATTTTTTATATAAGTAGATAGCGTCGTTTTCGGTATCCCATGCTTTTTCTTGATACAATATCTTGCTTAGGCAAGAGTCCAGCGTCCACTTCCCCCAGGATATCAGCTTTCTCCTGAAGTGTTTTAGCACGGTATTTGCCGCAGGCACACGCCATCAAGCCGGAGCAGCAGAATCGCGACAGACAGGAAGCTACTACCGGCGCTATCGCAACAAACGTTAGCCGAGGCCTAACACCAACACAAAGGATCGCGACAGTCGGAAGCTACTCCCAGCACCAACAACCGAGGTGTACGACGCACGCCCGAGACAGACTGCAGAGAAGGCTGGGCGAAGCTACGACGCACCCGTGTGCTGGTCATGTCATCTGTCCTCTAACAGTGACCCCTACGCAGGATTTTCAAAGGCTCCGAGATTGGCGCTTAAAAAAAATCTTGGAGGTTATGTAGGACGGAGAGCAGGCAGCCGCCGAGAGAGAGAGAGATTGTGGGGGAGGGGGGGGTTAAAAGTAAGTGGCCCTATTTTCTGCACTCTGGACTCTGTGCCAATCTCTCCGTTTTTCTCTCCCCTCCCTGTCAACGCCACCTCGTAACTTGGCAGCCGCCCTATCAAGTGACTAGCCAAGCCGCCGGCGCGTAATTAGAATTATCTGCGGCGGAACCTACTTGCGTTCGAATTAACGGGCTTTTTTATTCATAGGCTTGTATGAAGCTTGGCTGGACCATAGCTTACAGTTCGAATTATCCATAAATTCAAATTATTGAAGTTTGAATTAACGAGCTTTCACTGTAGTCTTCAATTGGCCTCAAGGTAAGCTTTAGTGCACACTTTTGGGGCAACCGGTGGCCCTTATGGGTCAGTTCAGACGCATCCCACAAGTACGTGGCTTGAAAAAAATTTTGCTAGTTTTTTTTTTTTTTATGCAAAAGAAAAAGTCCTAGAGAATTCGCAGTGGAGAATTCAAGCGAAAATGGCAGCGCAGCCAGAAAACTCCGTCCGCGCCCGCCGAAAACGTTTTCACATTCGTTCTGCCCCTCGTATACATGCCACCCTCGCCGCCGCCATCGCCGCTTGAGAACTCATTCCATTTTGCCCGGTTCCTGATCACTGAAGTTTGTACCGAGTTATAATTATGCATACAAGGCACTGAAAATAAGCTGTTTACACCTTTATCAACGTTATTTCGGAAGACACGCCAGCCGAAATGACACGAGCGGACACAGTGGTGGCGGCGAATTCAGCCGGTAGTGCAAAAGCAAGACAGGTTCGGACAAGCTGACTCGTTGCTGCTGCACCTTCTTCTACTTCCGGTGTTAGTGATCTTAATCCAAACTAGGCTCTCGACGACCGCGTCCCTGTAAAGGCCGGGAGCTTTGGCGTGCCGCGCGGGTAGTTCGCGATAGCGACAGCGCCGACGTGATCAACCGCTGATGTTTCGCCACCATGTTGATTTGCGGCTGGTTGTGGACATCACGTGGTTTGAGAGATAGAGCAGCCGGTAAAGCCAAAGCCGTGAAGCAAGAAGGCGATACTATGCCATCGTGCGGCGGGAAAATTGGTCTCGGACAGATTTTTTCGCGTCGGCCTCGCGGCATGTTTTTGCCGCGTTGTGCCGCCGGCATGCAGCAGTCACTAGGACATTCGTATCATTAGGGGTGGCTGGGGAAACCATTCGTATAACATGGAATCACTCTGTATTTCATATAACGTAGTTCATCCAAAACAAGCTTAAAATTTGTATCGCGAAATTCGCATCAGTCGTAATCGTATCGTCGAGATTCTACTGTAGCAATCTCGTTGCATTTGTTTGTGGCACTTCTTGCGTGTGGTTAGGTGCATTTTTAATCCCTATGAGAAACTCTACTACAGTGTTTATAGATCAACACTTCTTGCCTTTGCGTGTTCTGCTAGAGTGCCAGGTTACCATACATCCATTGTATAGGCTTTGCGGGTCATGGACAGCGTTGTATGCGCAAAAGTAGATAATTTTTCATAATGTGATTTGTGCTGTAAAGTTGTTTTTCTTTTTGTGTGTTTTTATGAGGTCACTTTGCCACAGCAAATTACTGTTGTAGTGAAGCGTACTAAGAATGAGAAGGAACCTGTAGCTTTGACGGAAACCAGCACATTTTTCTCCTTTTGTTGCGCACATGCTGTGCATAAATGTCTTGGGCTTCACAAACCAACGTCGGCCTTACCTCGCGTTTTCCTCAACTTCCTGTACTGTCTACATGCGTTATAAAGGCACAAAAATGGTAACATGGAGAAAGATTAGGGCAAGACTGGTTTATGAATGTTAGTCTAATTTGTTTATTTTGTGCAATAAAAATTTAAAACCGTTAAGAAAAACTTAACCGCACCGCACACAGAAGCACCGCTTTGCGTCGCCACAAACTCTAGGAAAAGCTGAGGTTGGTTTGTGAATACGGCCTTAGTCTTTCAAAAATGGCAAAGATGACTATAGTTGCATTATGTGCAAGCTGTGTGTGCTCATGATTCTAGGAATGAAGGGCTACCCACACGTGTAATTTTGTGCTTTACTTATCAATCATTTGTGAGAATGAAAGCGTGATCAACTATATAAGGAATGGCGATACCTGTTCTCTTCCTGTTTAGGAGTGTGGACAGACATCTTAGCCAATGAAAGCCCAGAGAACGTATGAGGTTTCTTATCAATATCGTAATTATTCTCACTTAAATTGAAAGAAATTAAAGTGGACGAAACATCTCCCTTTCCGTCCGTGGGATTCAAGATCGCTACCCCCTCCAAACCCGCACCTAAGTGCGCGTGCAGGTTGTTTGATGCTTCCATTCTTGCGTGCTGTGACTGCAGGAGCACCCCAGAGACCAGCGGCTTGCTGGACCCGAACAGCAGCGATCACGTGGTGGCACTGACGCAGCTGCGTGAGCAGGTATCCTCCCTGCAGAAACAGCTGAGCCTGAAAGACCAGCAGCTGCTTGCCAAAGACAAGCAGGTCGGTTTTTATTTGCTGCTCCGCACTTACACGAGTTCTCTTTCATACTCTGACAATTTAGGCGTGACGAGTCCGTTATGTGAACATTAATTTTTATTTAAAATTAGCCCTGTGTTCCCAAGTGATACGTCTTTCTGTGGGCCACCCTTGTGTTTGTACTGTTGGAGCCTACCTCACAGAGGATGGTGACCCCTTCAGCCCTGATATCATCACTGACAGAGGAGAAAGAATCTCCTTTGTCAAACTTCAAAAGAGCTGGCACAGCTTGCCAGGCTGTCAGATGACCTCATTTGTTTCACTTTTCCTGTGCTAGTTTACATCTATCGTTTTACACTTTAGGGAATTTGGTTGTGATATCATTGTGGCCATTACGTGAAATCTGCTGCCCATTCTGGGATTTAGTTTCAGTGTCTTGTTTTTTTGGTTATTCAAAATTATTTAAGAGTTCCTTAGTGAACTTACCATGGAATCTCCTACCTCTTGTCAGTGCTGTTAAAAATACTGTTTTAAAACTGCTGTATCCTGATTGGTTAAAAAAAAAACAACACCAGAGCTCTCCTCTAATGTGCAAGCTATTGCATTCAAGCACTTGGGATCCCAACTTTGGATGTATGCGTGGCACAAGGTCTATTTTATGTCTGCATCTTGTCCTGCAGTACTTCTGTCATGTTTTGTGCCGGTTTATAGCACGGCCGAAACTGTGCACTATCTGGAGTCTGCATTATGCGTGGGCATTTGGATTCACTTTGAAAGTGTAGATCCTTTGTATGCTCTATTAGACTTTACTTTTTTCGGTTTCAGATTGCGGAGCTCAAAGCTCACATGTCTTCAGATGAACGCAACGCTCGAGAAAAAATGCAGGCGGAGAAGAAGAAGCATTCGGAAGTCGTTCAGGACCTTATGGTGGGAACTCTTTGTTAGTTTGTTTTACTTTTTGCAAGTGTGATGGACGTCTCGGCTGCTTAAATAAAACGCTATTACCAGGCTCCATTCAAACATTACTGATAGGCTGCTGTACAAGAGAATGCTGAAAAATCCAGGATATAGGTCAACCCTCGACTTCTGCCACTAAAACTTGGAAAAAAGATTTGCACCTTTAACGTGAAACAAAACAAGTTTCGACTAGTGCAGTCGAAATGTCATTTATTTACATGTGTATAGACTTCCGCATGGAAGAAAATTAATATATGGGCTCAAGCATTATCTTTGTAAAATGTCACCATTGGTCTAGGCAACCTTACTTTATATACAACTTTGGGGTTATTGGTAGCAATCATGGCACGAGCATAGCTCCCAGATAAACTCCACAACCTTTGTCTCCAGCTTTAGATATGCTGCGGTCAGGCACAAAAACGGTCTTGCTTCTGATGACTGCATGTTGTAATGTGATCCTTTAGTGTACCCAGTGATGAATGCTTCTGTGGTGCACTTGATCTGCCCTCCAAAATTGATGGTAGCCATACGTGCCAGAAGCAACAAAGAAAAAGGATTATCTAATCTCGCCATATCCAGAGTTTAGAGCAGTGAGAACGTCTGTGCAAAGATAAACTTTTAGTTATTGTTCGTGACTCAAGGCTCCTTCTTGAGGTCACGGGTGCTAGCATCGCAGCACATCTTTCGCTGCACTGCCAACCAGCTTTCTTCGTGCCATTGCAAAGTCAATCGCTGTTTTTTCTTGCACGGTACAGTAAACTGTCATTGGCCACCAGTCAATAGCAAGAAAAAAAGGCAGCTTGGAGCCCAAGCAGATATACAAAAATACCACACACAAAAAAACAGTCAAAATTGGGCCGCCCACGGCACAAGGCTAGTTGTAAATAGAGCAACTTCGATAATAGGAATAGAGGCAGTTGACTTCATTATCCCATAGTGGCCTGACTTCTGAAGCTTTTCTGCCAGTGACTGGTATATAAGACATGGTCTGACTTCTCTTGACTATTTTCTGAAATAAAATTTGACCTATATTCCTGTTTTTACGATATTTAAAAACAGTACATCGGTTTTTACACGCTAACTTCTAAATTTTTCCAGAGTTTTGTCCGAGAAAGTTTGTTCTGTTGTACCTATTGCTACTGCTATCATAATTTTGTGTGTGTGTGCATGCATATTTGCACGTGTGTGGAAGCTGTTTAACGTTGCGCATATCTGCAATTTTTACTTTTCCTAAATTTGACCGTTTTCTATATTTTATATTGTGTATCTAATAACTTTTGAGCTTTTTTAGGAGTCTCCTCTTTTCCACTTTTAACCTGTCAGCATTTGTTTTAGTACAGTAAATGTAAAAGGAATGTTCCCTCTAATAACTTGCTCAGAAACTAGCATGGGCTGAACTTGTTCATAGGCGGTGAGATAAAAATACATCTAGCAGTTTTGCCGGCAACTTTCTCAAGCGTCTGTATGCATGCATCTATTTCAGAACAAGCTGCTGACGTTGCAGAAACAGATTGCAGCCTAAGGCGAAGAGCAATCGGAAGAACACAACAGCGACAATAGACAGCCCCTCTTCCCTGATCACGTGACGGAAGTCTCTTGCATCTCGTCTCCCACTCTCTTTTACCCGGTCTGAATGGAACAAGTGGCAGTCATTATCTGATTTCTCCGACATCACTCCATTATATTGCTCTTCTCCTGCCCTTCTCTCCCCCCCCCTCCATTTATCAGGAGGCGAAATCACGTCTCTGTATGTTTACTTTTGTTTCAACACTTGTAGCAAATGTGCTGGATTTTGTGATGAGCGATGTGCAACCCACATTATGGTTAGGTGCCGGTTCTCAAGTCATGTTCTAAGCTTTGGTGATTTTAATGGCAGTGGAGTACTTGAACGTTGCAAGGCCTAGCTCGCGGACTCTTCAGATGCAGTATCTCGGACCCACCCGGCCTTAACAAGTGCAAGATGAACAGGCTCACCCCTCCCCCCCCCCCTTTATTTCACCCCAGGGATATATGATAGACCCTTTAAACTATGGACCTTTGCATAGTAATCGTTAGCAGATTAGGCAACTAGCACAACATGTACACATCCAACGTCCACCACCCAAGCGTAATCAACACATTCACATGAGATTATACCAATTTGCAAATGTGTTCTGTCACCACTTTGGAGACACGATGCCTCGCGTTAACGTGCGCATCTAGTGTGTGGCAGCACCGTTCACTTTGTGTATTGTTGCATTCTTACCTGCGGCTAGGACTTATGTGGATCTGATTATCAGTCCAGCAACACTCGTGGTAATAAAGTTAGGTTATCCTCTCTACAGTCATAATATGACATTAACTGTAGCTGCTAAATTTGCGGACTTAGCTGAAGACGGTTGTTCTAAGTTATTTAGTGTGAGGATTTTTCTTGATAGTTGCAACAATTAGGTTTGTAGAGGTATCAGGGCTTTGAATGTCTTGATTTCTTATCTAAGTAGTGAGTGGGAGTTGGAATTTTCATTTATATGACTTGTAAGTCACGTTTGCTTGCATGTGTTCGTGACAACTAAGACTGAGATATAGTGTTGAGAGCGGAGCCACCTGTTTGGGCCACTGATTGAAATGGAGCGTAGTTATGGGCTGTTCTTGATTAGGTAATTCTGAGATTCACGTGGCCGAGAAAGTTTGAAATATTATTGAGGAGGGTGGTGGTACTCCATTGCCATATTCAGATACCCTTGATTTGTTTTTAATGGTGGCAAGTCAACACCTGGTAATTCGGTTGGTGAAAGTCCATCGCCTTTACTGTCACTACTGGCAATCTGTGTGTTTATATAGTCCTTAACTGGAGCTCTTGGACTCTCTTCATTCGAATGTTGTTCTAGTGGAAAGTCCATGTATCCACACACACACACGAGGTGTAGGTTCGATTACGTGAAATGATTATTTAAGAACGCTCCCTCCTTTCTCTCTCCGAAACGTTGAGATCTGGATTCGAAGGTCCCTACAGTCCACATGGTGTTTTTATTTTCTTACAAAGTCGTTTTTATCTGTTTCAGACTGCATGTGTTTCTCAACAAAATGTCGAAACCATCTCCATTCTTGTTTTTATACTTTTTATGAAACGTTCTCGTTTAAGTAGAATATGTTTTGCTCTAAGCAGACTGGCAGGATGTGAATCTAGAAATAGTTTGAACGTGTTGTGGTGGTGCTTTCGGTGAGTGAAGTAAAGGTACCGAGAGATGCACTTAAAAAGCGCTTTTGCGGCGGCTTGCGATTTGCCCCTGTGATGCTGCCAAGATTGACTGCAGGCGACCGTGAAAGCGCCATTGAAGCAATTTCGAGCAACCAAGTATCACACCCACCAAAAAGCCCTCCTTGGAGTGGAAATCAGAACTGGTTTTGTGTGAGTGTTAAGTGTGTTAGCATGTGCCATGCATTGAGAAATTTGTGTTTTGCAACTGCATGTGCCAGTCTGCTTAAGCAGTCATCTTTTTCAGTTTGCAGCATTGTACATTCAAAAAAATGGCAAAAACAATAAATTTACTCGCCAAAAACTGCTTTTGTGTTCCTTAGGTGGAAACCTGTTTAACGCACACACACTTCGGGATACCAGCAAAGGTATCGGAAACTGAAACTGCCTTCAATCGTCCTGGGCAACTCTAAAGGGCGTGCTAACAGCTCCCACTGTAGGGGCCCTGCGACACGAATTGAAAATGCTGTTTATATCATTCCTTGTGTTACAGTATAATATGACAGTATCGTAGTGGAACAAGTGGACACGCTGCTATGTTAGAATATGGCAGTTTTGAAGTGCAACGATGATCACTAGCAGTCACATTTTAATGGAAACGAAATGCCCGAGCTCCACGTACTGCGTCTGTTCACCTTAAGAAGACCAGATGGTCAAAATTGACGGAGCCCCAGATAACACCAGAAACAAGGTATTTAGGATGGTATTTCAATGAGAAACCACCATCTGCTTCAATAAGTTGCACGCAACGGTCATTTTGTATATAGCAACTGATGCTTGGTTATGCGAAAGTTTCTCCAGTGATTAAAACTTTTTGCGACACCGGCAGTGTAACTAGCTGGTGCATTTATTTTCTCGTTTCTGATGTTCTTCTAAGGAGTTGTTGCGTAGAATCTGCTGTCTCTAAACTTGAGTAATCAAAAAAAAAAAGGAAAATCAGACTACTTTGTGGCTGTTGATTTCTTCAAGATTCTGAGGGTGAAATTTTCAGTGAATAGAGGTTATTGGCAATCAACGGGTAACAAACATAAATTGCGCTGATTTGGGCGAGTTTGTTTTTACTTGGTTACATGCAGTATGACTGAGATGAAGTCTGCTCGTAGATACAAATTGCGCTCATTTGTGTCAAGTCGCGGCGTAAACTGCACATATGCAGGATGTCTGCACCGTAGAAAGCACATTGTGACATGCTACTGCTTTCGTAAAATGGTGTCTGGAAACGCTGCCAACGAAATTTGTGCAATGTATTCTCCTCCGAGTGTTTAACTGCTACATACAGAATTGTGGGATGTTGCTAAATTGCAGAAGTGTTAACAAGGTTCAAAATGTGTAGGGCGAGTTAAACTAGCCTGAGTACACGATGCACCACACTATAGAAGTCTGTGCGCGTGTGTACGTCTGAGCGCATGTTCTTTTGCCTTAGAAACTGTATAGCTCAGCTTGCTTCTTTATAGTTTTACCTTGGATGAAGCTCCTCGAAAGTATATTTGTGTACTCAACAGCACTCATATAGGAATCTTGTATTGTATTCAACAAGATAGCAGTGTACAAAACTTTTCTTGAGACCGACAATATGCTTGACATGGCAATGCTGCATCCCCATAACAGTAAATTACTTCCAGAATTCAAGATTAAGAAGCCACAATAATACTAATTACCTCATTGCATGGCCTACGACAATGCATTTATTGTAGAATTGAAGTTTCTACAATTGTGCATTGGCCTGCAACTGTTGCTCCATCCAGCAGTCAAATGCAGTCTTTGACATCTCCGACAGCAAAAAATGAGGCATTTCTATTATCTTAAATCCAACATGCCGTAACTGACGCAATTTCATGGTCTCGATACCCAAAAGCTTGTTCATATTCATGCAGTATGATCCTGGCCCGTGCACAACTACAGCATATGAAACTTTTGTGCCACTTTTGACCGGTCGCCATGCACCATTCGCCAACTCCAGTTCACACTTTGACAGTTCCAACTCTCCTCTCTGTTCAACACAAAACAAGATGTCGGGAAAGTGATGGTGTGGGAGTGCACGCTTGACGGTGCACACGTCGCCAAACCGTGTTCGCAGCCGATTCGCAATTTGAAGCGTAACCTGCTCCCTGTGGTGCAACCCTTTTGTTCCTTCATCAATGTCGCGTCCCATGACATGGCGTTCAGTCTGTAAGCTCTTGAGAACGTGAGGACTTAGCATCGGTCCAGTGTAGCAGGGCAATTCAATTCGCACCGAGCTCTGGAGTGCCTCAGCATGAAAGCTGACATCCTTGTGCCTGTGACTACCATACACACGATCATCATTTAATGCCAGTTGCAGCAAATCGGCAAAGTATATACCAACAACTGCCAGATACCACAGTGCCGACACAAATGTGTGATGGTGATGTTCAATTTCTGGCCTCCTACATTGTTTCAACAGCTCGTGTAAAATTGATCTGTAGTCTAACCCTTCAAGGCTATGGTTGAACAGTGCAACAGCTTTCAGTGTTCTTGTGATCTCCTTCAACCGAATGGTTGGCATCTCTGCCATCAAGTGCTGTAAAGCAGAGTCGAGCAGAACGGGATGGTAACTCTTAAGTGCAGTTGCCAGTGTCGTTACATGCGCCACGGTGGTTGGAGTCCACTCTACGACACTAGGTTCGCAGGCTGTCAGAGCCTTCACCCAGACGGATGTGTCATGAGCAGTCCGGCTGTAACGAAGTGCTTTCGCTAATGCACTAATGGTGACACTATCCGCCGTCGCTGCATTTTCTTCCAACGTCTTCACGACGCGTGCCATCAGCCGTTTGTCCTCGATTAGCTCTTGCGACTTGAAAAAGCTTTGACACGCCAGTCCGACTTCAGCCACTGTGAGCTCGTCGAAACACGACACAAGTCTTTCTTCAATGACTGGCTTGATGTGTCGCACCATCCGTCGCTGCAAATTCGTGAAGAACAGGTACTGAATCAGCTCCCGGGCAGTCAGCTTGTTCATGGAGCGACTGACAATATTGAGCATGGTTCTGTTGTACCTCGAGATCCTGCTGAGCCGCAGATGATAGAAACAGTCCGCCAGCAGAAGCTGACGATGTTTGTCCCATCGAGAACATCGTGCGCTGCATTCATTATCCAGCGCGTTCCACAGGTGCTTGAAATGCGGAGTTGTGGTCGCTTCCGTCTGAGGCCACAAGCAAAGGCCTGTCAGGGCGCACGTTACGCCATCGTCGGATGTCGCAGGTAAGCTAACCACGACACTCTCTATGATCGGTTTGTGCTCCCTATTTTCAATGCATGAGCTGCGTTGGTCCGCGCGCACGGAAAGCTCGGCGAATCGACGCACGGAGTCGTCTACGCCGGGGATCGCAGCTTTGAGCAGTTCGCGAACGCTGTCCTTGTTTGGTTGCCTCATAACGGTGCGCTTCAACTCAGGCCGAGTTTCTAAAATTTCGTGAAAGTGCTCGTTTTCAAGCTCGCGATAAATTTTGCCGTGCAGCGCTCGCCGAAACACCAAACACTCGCACATCCAGCACATCGCGCTCGCGAACCGCGGGTTTTTAAGCATCGTGGCATGCATCGCGCACCTCCGACCATGATCACGATGCTTCAGAGTTTTGAGTACATGCGCGCCCAATGACTGCGTATACTGTAAAGGCCACAATCGCTGTCAACGATACGAGATAACACAGCAGTTTAGCGCATGGTCTAGATTGATGGTCTTTTTGGTCATGCGCCGTGCACTTGCATTGCAGAACACCTACCGTCGTGTTTGTGTCCATACGGCTTCGGATTTGACTTAGAGCTCGTGTTACGAAGAAACCCAACAAAATCCGAAAGAGTTAAAAAAAATACTCAAACGAGAATGTTCGAGACACGCACTCCGCATTTTGGAAATTCGTTCTTTGGTCTATGGGTGCTACGCCTTAGCAAGGAAGCTAATAAAACATGTTAGCCCAGGCATAAAGCTCTTCTCGTGTATCCCAGCCAGGTCCGTATGGTGGCTCGTTTCTGGCTTGGCGTACACTAGCTTGCAGTTTGTGGCTAATTTGTTTCAGGCACGGACCATAGCACGGAGCAAGGAAAGACCTTTCCTTCCTTCGTGGTTTCAGAAATTATTGTCGCTTGGAGACATTACGGAAAGTTTTTTTTTTTTTAGGGGGGGGGGGGCGAAGCTTTTTAAAGAAACCCTAAAGGCAACTTTAGGTCGCAGTTGATCGTTGAAACAGCGGTTCAGAAACCTCGTACTGTTACTTTTGTGCCTAGGAAGGGCCTATTTTGAAATAAAATCACGTTTAGTGGTTCGCATCGGGTTACTTAGCGCACTTCAAACTACCTGCCTCAAGAAGCGGACCGATAGGACCGACTCACGTCATTGTTGCCGTGCACAACATTGTCCGGCTTTACTGCGCAAGTAGCAGCAGACCACGGAGGAAGGAACCGAAAACAGCGGGAGCCACAGCAGCAACAACGACCTTTTATCAATTTTCCGCCGTTGGCTCCAAGATTGCAGCCGTTTGTGGTTCAACTGGGCCCCGCTAGATGGCATTACCTACCCAATAAAAACTGAATTTTTGAAGCACTACGTGAAAATTGAGTTTTTGAATCACTCGCGCCATTCCCCATTGTAACGTCCGGCGGTTCTTTATTCCATGAATGAAACAGAAACGAACATGCAGTGCGGTTTCGGTCGCTGGTTCGTATCCCGGCTGCGGCGGCTGCATATTTCCGATGGAGGTGGAAATGTTGTAGGCCGTGTGCTCAGATTTGGGTGCACGTTAAAGAACCCCAGGTGGTTGAAATTTCCGGAGCCCTCCAGTATGGCGTCTCTCATAATCATTTGGTGGTTTTGGGACGTTAAACACCACATATCAGTCATTCCTGCATAGGGTGGTTAGCACGTTCACTCGTCTTCGTTTTCTCCGAGGATATGTCAACGGCATCAACATTTTTCGGCAAATGCCCCATTGTGAGTACGAGCCATCTGTGAAGGATCATCATCATCATCATCATCGGTGTAGCGCGCACAGTGTCTAATGCGCGAGCACTGGTACATGGCACTGTATCGCTAATAGGCGAAGATGAAGAAAAAGACCTTCACACTCTGCATTCGTTTGGTTATCAGGTGACTTATCTTTCTTTAGGGAATCAACGTCTGATATTCCACTCACTCCAGTAGTCCCCCCAAAGCGATTGCTTGCTGTCGGCAACGGTAGTGTCAATTAAACGCGGGGAAGTGAGTAGCAGCGTTCGAAAATCGTCGTGCCTCGATGTCTCAGCCGTGGCATTCCATGTTTACCGACAGTGAGGAAGAGAGCGAATCAACGACGAGTGTTCACGCGAGGTATGAAAACAAACCACCCGGCAAATCATCGACAGCATCGACTCCGGCATCGGTGGAGACTCCGAGCCAGCAGCACTTGAGTCCACTCGACAGCGATGCCACGCCTACACCCGATACCACTCAGGACAATGTCCCTGCATTGGCACCACAACAGGGTGGCTGCGATGCTCTCGGTTATAGCTTCGCCAAACTCATTAGCTCCTTGACGGACGCCTTGAACGCTTGCTGCGGCACGTCTCCGCCACCAGCTCCGCACGACAGAAATACTGATCCAGGAGGCAAAGATGGCGAGGTGAGTGAGGCAACCGAGCTGAAGAATCACGACACCGAAAAACCCGTTGCCGGGGAAACTGCCAAGAAGGATAGCGTTGGCGATTCCACTAGATCTCGCAGCTTCCTCGATGACCTCGCCATGGATCACAGGTCTCCCGCGGAGCTACTAGCGGTCGAACTGCGTGACAGCATTGAGAAAGAGATGGAAGAGAAGCTCCTTCAGTACCGAATGCTGTGGCAAGCTGGTGAACTTTCCGACCCCGCCGCATTAGATTACTTAGAGAAGGAAAAAGAGGAGCTGCAGTCAACCCCACTCACCGCCCTTTCGCCACCATTCAAAGAAAAAGAGAACACCGTTGAGGAGGAGAAATTCGCCGTTCACTTAGTGCACGTATCTCCCTATGAACCAGCGACACCGGTCACTAGCGACGAACAAGCGACGGAACCATCGTCCAATGGCGAGTCAACGAGCGAAGATGACACGCCGTCGCCACCTCCTGATGCTGCAACGTCAAAGTCATCCTCGACTCCAGCTACACAACAAGATGCTGCCAAGGAACACGACGCCGCGGTACTTGGCTGTGGTGAAGGCGGTGGTTTCGAAGACGGCGTTGAGGAAGGAAAGCAAGAGGTCCACGTCGAAGAGGTGGTCGACGCCGCCCGGAAGGCTGGGGCAGTAGGCGACACTCGCGTGGTCGCTCCTTCGTACCTGCCGAAGGACGTCGTGCAAAAAATCCCGGATGTTCCGAAAGACACCGCCGGTGCTGCCGTTTCTCCCGAGAGTGAGCCAGTGCCTCCGCGGCACGCTCATCATGCGGCCGGCACGCAGGACACTGAGCTCGTCTTTCGTTACAAGACGAGTGTCGGGTTGACCATGACGCTTCTGTTCTTGGCGGCGGTGGTGGTTTCCACTGTTGCCATCGGCCAGTTGGCCGCCAGGAATGGTCAGTCGGAGAGCTTCAGAGAGGCCACCACGCTGCTTTCGTTGCCGGAGTGGAACAAGAGCGATAACGGCCGCGCTCAGCTTATGATACCGGAGGAAGAAACCGAATGGGACATTCTAACGCTGGACATCACTTAGATAGGTGGGCTGCTATTCGATCGTCATATATTTTCTCTCTTTTTCTTTCGTAATGACGTGACCTATGATTTTTGCGTTGCGTTGACCCATCGCGCTGCTGCTGGACAATTGTGACTGATTTTGTGCAAGCAAGCGTATATATAAACGTATATTGTTATTTCGTAAAATGCGTGAAACCTCGCTGCATGGCTGGAACAATCTAACCTATAAGCATGTTCAATGAGCATATTCGTCGCTACCACAGTACCACCGTCCATAACTAAGTCCGCTACTCGAGCGTTTGCAAGCGTTCTGTAGTTGCCGAGTTTGTTCATTGTACAGTGCATCACACTATTTGTTGGACCCACACCAAAAAACACCTCTGGCGCGCCTATCTTTGAGCTTAAAGCCCTGTAAAGTACGGTGACGACCGAGCGTAGCTGTGTGTGCCCTGATGAACGCTTGAAAGCGCTCAAGTCGCGGCGCGGGAGTGTGCGTCTATTTCATATTTTGCGTGTTTCTCGTGCTTTTGTTTTCTTCTAAAAGAACAACCGCGCAGACTCCAGCTGAAAGCAAATGCTTGATTCTGGGGTTATTTGATTTGAGCTACAATGTAAAGTCAATATATTTCACCGATTGAAGCAAGAGTAAAATGATGGCTGAATAATTAGCGCTTAGTCATGAAAAAAATACAGCTTGAAAGTTTGCACACGACTACCAGTAATATAAAATATATAAAACTTTCGTGTAACGTATGCTTTCTTTTTTTTTTATATCTTGGTCTAAGTTAGCCGGGACCACCCTCTATAAGTGTTGTGGGGACTGAGTTTGTTGTGCAGTCTTTTTTGCCCATTTCTGCCGTCCACATGTCCTAACATGACTCCCCCTTCTCCGCAATTCATTGGCGCTGGGAGAGCGCGAGTGACGTTGGCTCCTCTCACCCGGCAGCGGATGTCGACTGTGGCGCCGTGCTCGGAGTCTCACAAGACGATTCGCATGCGCGCCCGGTGGGAGCACAGAACGTGGGAATGAGAGATCCTCTGCGGACAGCGAATCATGAGCACGCTTTGTACCGTCGGCTTCCTTGTTCTTGGAGCTCGCTCGGACTCGCCAACGGTGTCTTGCGCCCGCGGCGACCGCTTACCTTTCGTGGCCCCTTCTGAACGCTGCCGAAGAGCGGTGAGGTGTGCTCGCGCGTGGTCCTTACTACGACAAGCCGTACCTATCGAAGCCAACGCGAGCGGAGTCTGTCCTCGCTCGAGTGATCGGACCCTGTGGTCACTTATCGGGAGAGCACGCAGCATAATCGCGAGTGACCGTTCCCCCTCGGAGACGTCTCGCCGTGAGCCCTTTCCCCCGCTGAGACGTGCTCGCAGCCCACGTGTCTTGTACTTTCGCTCGTGCCGTGGTTAAGCCTATTTTGCTTTACCGCCGCCTTTTGCAGCGGGCGCTGTAGTGCGTTTTTGGTGTTGCCGCAGGCAGTAAAGTGTTGCGACTTCTTTTATAGCAGTACTGTGTACTTACCGCGCTGCGCTCGGCGTCTTGGCTGTCCGAACGCGCGTGTGCACCGTTACGCGAGGTGGCGGTGAACGTGGCCCTGTGGCCCTGTGGCCACACGCTAGTGGCCGTACTCCTACGAGATACATGTACACAACAGTATGCGTTTGTGTGTGTCGCTGCTCTGTGAACTCCCCCCTCTCCATTGAAGGGATACTATCACAAACGACTGCAATTTTTGTCTCGCCCGCGCACCCCATCGCCCAAGGAAGGGCGCCTTTGTATTGGGAAGAAGACATCCGGCGACTTACGACCCAGCACTGCGCCGCCGCGTTTTCCCTACACCTGTACCGAAAGGGGGACACATGTGTTCGAGGAAGAATAAATGACCTCCAGAGGGGACGGGAGCACGCGTACGCCCCGAAAAAGTTCTGACTGCTTCGGAAACGGCAGTTGACGTGCAACCAGCGAGAAGCGCGGTCGTCGGTGTCGCGAGGCTCGCGTAGGCGACGAGCATAGAGGGACCCGCGCAACGTATTGAGACGGCTGCATTACTAAGCACCCGCTTCGTCTACTAAGCTGGCGAGATCTTCAGCGAC